ACTAACTTGAGTGACCTCTGGTCACAAGAGGCTCCAGCGAGATCAGGGAAGCTCCGACAAAGTTCAACAATGGCGACCGAAGTGGTTTGTGCAGATTTAATGGCCCAAAATGCAACAAACAACCAATATCATGATCAAGAACACATTTTTAACATCAATAAACTCAGAATCACGAAAGAAATCACATGATCAAACAAGATTAAGCTCAAACACATGTTATGGAATTTTATGAAACTGTGATCATGAGCCAACTTTACCTGTCTCGTTGATGATCGATTCTGAAACTTTGGACCAAACTACGACCGTAGGATGATTCCTTTATGTATGTTCTTCAAGTTCACATCGCCGCTTCTTCGAAAAAGTCCCAGATTGCTTGGCCGAAACTCGTCTTCAGGCCTTGACGATCAACCTTGTTACAAGTTCTCCGATGAGGAAACTCACCGTCAGGACCGATTTGCATGTACTTTTACAATCGGAAAAGCACCGATCGCTCGGCCCTGGGAATCTCTACTCACGCTTACGCTCAATCTCTCTCTTCCTTGCTCTGGTTTTCTCTCTCTCGAGCACCTTCTATGCATAGGATAACGTTTTTTCTCTCTTTTCTAGCCCAATTTCCTGCCCAAAAATCATTACCACCGACCTCCAAATTGGTTATAACGATTCTCCTATGCCAGCTAGAGATTCTCCAGCTGGTAAAATTGATTTTCACGCGCTCATTTGGCCCCGGTAAGGAGGTGAAGAGGCGGGCCAAGAAGATATTTTCTCGATTTTGTGCTTTTTGGGCAAGTCAAGTAAAGAAGGAGACCGACCCAGGTCGGGTCGGGTCGATCCGACCACCCCAGCAGACCCGGATTGATCTAAATTTGCGAATTCGACCTGATTTTAACCCTATTTTTCAATTTTAACCCCAAAATTGGATTCTTCAGCACATTTTGCACCCAAATATGAGATTTTTCCTAATTTTTATCACAATTAAACCCAAAATTCCCAAATTTTAAATTCGGATTACTACGATTTTTGTTCAATTCTCTATCTAGATTGTGACATTCTGAAATTCGATCTATTTCCGGGATTTATGAACTGATAATATCTTCGATGCACTTTTATTAAAATCTTACTCAGAATTAATCACTCTTGAGAAGACTAAACATTTGGGAATGGCTAGCTAGGAATCAAGTACATGGACCTAAGAACTTAGCCGTGAATCGACACTTCGACCATAAGGATTGACGAGGAGATATTTTGGGCCATTATAGACCGATCCAAGGATGACTAAGGAACGATTCGCAAATGTTATATAATTGGATCGCGAGTGATTCCGCTTGATCATTGTATGAATTTCGAACGATTGCATCAATTGGAACTAGTAATTAACCCTCGCAATTACATGACAACCGAGGTAGCCATGGCTCGAGTAAACTTAGATATGGATCAATATCAAATTGGCCGCGAGTCGATACGCGTAACTCTTAAAAGCCGCCCATTAGTTTGAGATACACTAAAGTCGGAATTGATTGGTTTGAGCCATGAATTAGAATCCGGAATGGGTTGTTGAACTTTCAAGATTTCACGAAAAATTATCGGACGTCGTCTCATCAAGCGTGGCCAACTGTTGGATCGCTCAGAATTGTCGGAAAAGTCTAATTTGGACCGGGTATGGAAAAAGACCATTTTACCCCCGAGAATTTTTGAATTCATTTGAAAGGTTGAAGGGCAAATTAGACTTTGGCACTTTCCCTCCTTGGCCGAAAATTGTGGACCTTTATGCCCCTCCTCATCTTGTCTATTTATTTTTGTTGTCATTTGTAATTTTTGGGAAATTAGTAGGAGAAAAATTATGGGCCATTGGATCTCAGCTTGGGGAAGGGGATGGATTCTTAGCCCTTGGATGTGAGTGGGGTTTGGTAGTGGGGTTTTGTGTGAGTGGGGTTAGTAAGATCATGATCATCTCTCTCACTCTCTCCTCTCTTGTTCTCCCTCATTCGGCGGAAGCTCCCTCACCTCCTTGCCAACTAGCTCAGCCTATTCCAACCTCTGTCCAGCCGCTGTGACGCCATAGGAGACCCGCCGGAGCAGCCGCCGGCGCCGCTGCTGCTCACCACCGCCACACCTCTCTCTTTCCCTCTCTTTCCTCACCATTTTCGGACACCACCAGCCCTAACCTAGACCAACACCACCCCTCACCGTGACCACCAGCCTGTGTCCGCCCCAGCCGTGGACCGCCGTGAGCGGAACCGCCGTCGATCTTCCCGTTCGACTGCTAGAACAGCAGCTGCTGGGCTTGGCTTTGCTTGACTGATTTTGCTTGTCTTGACTTAGGACTCCTAGTAAGTTCTCCCTACGCCTTGGTTAGGATAATGGGTTATCAATGACATGTTTAGAGGCTAATTAGGGGCTGATTAGAGATGGTTTAACGGCTGGTTGTGCTTGGTTGATGATTGGTTGTTGATTGATTGAATCTTGGATTGGTTGCTGATGTGCCCTGTTGTTTTGTTATTTTTGTGGAGATTGGTGTGGGACGAATATAAGGTGGTGTTATTCATGAAAGTTGTCCCTAATATCTTGACGTATGACATATATTAAATATGGAATTTTTGGAGACATTTGGGGGCATTTGGAGGTCCATTTTTGGACCGTCTCAATTCTTTTGGATTTACTGTTCACTCGACTGGCTTGTCTTTCTGGATTTTTATAAATTTTCTGGACCTCTTTTCAACAAACTTCCTTCACAAAAGTTTCTAAGGACACTTGTGTCTATTACATGTAAAAATTTCAAAGCTTTCCAAAGAGATTTGGGTTCTGATTGAAAGAGATTTTGAAGGCCAGACAGTCTGTCCTGGCAAGTTGATTTCGGTCTGAATTCGAATGGCAAAACGAGATGTTTACAGTTGGAATTGGGTTTCATGTTTTTCATGAAAAATGTTTATCAAGATGTTTTCAATGATATATCCAAAATTTATAATTTTTGGAGTTGAATTACCATTTATTTTGAAAGGATTTCGGTTACTGCACAATTGCCTATTTTAGCCCAATTCTATGCAATTTGGTTGTCTCTCTCTCGGGAGTTATTCGGTGTTGTTTTTGCACGTGAAGGGCGTGGCCGGTTGATAGTTGAATAGGGTTTGAGTGGCAATTGGCTAATCGAAAGATGAGAAATGGGTTTGAGTGCTTGAATGGCCGTATGATCACATAATACCCTGAGGCGTGTTACGCGGGGTTGTAACCCGTCTTGATGCGTTTTACGTGAGACGATACCCGATTTATCGAATGTCTGGCAGGGGCCCAGATGCCAATCGCGATGGAGGCCGGATTGATGCTCCTCATGGAATGCCGTCTTGATGCGTGTGACACGGGACGATGCCAACGCCGACGTAGCGAGACGATGCCCAATTACGTCGGAAGCCTGATAACCTGATGCGTTTTACGTGGGTTTGGGGAGCTCGAGGGGCCGTTAATAATCTGGACTTAGTGAGTGTAATATGCATTATGGTATGCCATGTTGAGAATATTATTGGGCATGTATGGAATATTAAGTGTGCTATGCATGTGCTTGCCTCGATTCGGGTTGTTATGAGTGCGATGAATGGTTGCCATGTTATGGCGAATTATTAACGTGAAGGGTTTGTGCATGTGCCAAGGCGAGGTAAGGACGCCTGTGTTTGATGTGGCACGTTGATTGATTGAATTATTTGTCTAGAACTGTCCTACGGTACGCGTTAGCCTAAGCGAGGCTTAGGTAGTGACTTATTGAGATTATTTTCATTGTTGTATCTCAAAACCTTTCAAACCCCCGACCATGAACCTTAACAGTCCTCCGCAACGTTTTGGGGTCCCAATGGATATGGAACATATGTTGATGGAATACCCGGTGGGAGAGGATAGAGTTTATATTAGCCATGCGACTACGGTCTGGGTAGACAAGGGCGAGTCTACTTGGCAACCCTACACCTTTTTAGCTTGGTTTTACCAGGATGGAGATGCGCTGTTTGGTCCTCTCCGCGGATTTGACGGTCCCCCTGACGACAGAGTGGATGGATGGGACCCCAAGGAGATTATGCCACCAGACAGAGTCGTCACTAGTTCAGACATCGGTCCTGAGGACTCGGATCCTGAGTCGGAGCCGATGGAGTCTGACCCTGAGCCGGAGTCTGATGTATTCGAACTCGAGCCGTCTGACGACATGGCTGATCCGGGTACACCTGAGTACCTCGAGTCCGATTCGGAGACGCCACTTGGGCATCATGGGGGTTATTGATAGGCTTAGTACTTCCGTCGGTTGTGTACATCTTTTGGTAGAGAAGTTAGGCTAACCCAACCACCCGACCCTTTTTGAATGTGCGTGGTTAGTTGTGACGGCCTCTAGTAAGGCTTGTATGATGTGCAATTGTAAGTAACGCTTTGTCTATAAAAGTGTTTCGTTGATGTGTTTGAATTGTCTCTTTATTATCCCGTTTGATTGTATGTTGTATGGAGAGTTCGAATTGCTTCCACGTGTATTGCTCTTTGGTTCGTTCGTTTGGGTCGACGACAAATCCTGGGATGTCGCATTCTTATCGGCCTAGTTGGGATGTCACAAGCTTGTGGGGATCGGGGTGTGACGTCCCCATCTAAATTGGTATCAGAGCAAGGTTAGCTCGATCCGAGTTTGGTCGAGGCCTAGAGTGATAAGGACCGATGACCTTTGGGGTAGTCGATTAAGGAGACCTGTTGTGATCACAAGTTAGAACGTTGTATGTATGCTCTATGATTGTATGCTTGTGATTGCTGGATGGTTTATTGTGCTAAATTGCAGGTGCTGCAAGGATTAAGGTAAGAGCGCGAACCCTATTGATTATGTGTTCCTCGTGCTTGCTCTGTGGTTGCTTGTCTTATAGTTGATGTTTTGATTGGCTGCTTAGGAATGTTAGACTTGAGTAGTTGACTTAGGTCTCTAATTCCTTAGCGGAATTATAGCAGGTTAGGTCTGTTGTGAGAACCCTATGACGATGAGCAGGCGAGGAATGGGGATAAGGGGCCAGTCTAGTTCTCATGCCGAAGTGGCGGAAGACCCGCGAATAGATGGGGTCATAAGAGCGTTAGAGAAAATTGGAAATCTGATGGGTAGGCAGGCTCAGGAGCGAGCTGCCACTGTTGCTCAGGCTGCTCAGGCCACTGTTACCGCCACTAATGGGGCTAATAATGGGAACAATGGTAATAATGGAAATGGAAATTGCCAGATGCACCAACTAGTGGAGCAATTCTTAAAGCTAAAGCCGACCAAATTTGAAGGGAAAGGAGATCCCGAAGCTGCCACCCATTGGGTTGAAGAATTAGAAAAAGCTTTTGAACTTTTGGGGTGCACGGAGGAAAAAGTGACCCTGGCTATGTATCAACTTCAAGGAAACGCAAGTGATTGGTGGAAGGCCACCCGAGGTAGGATCTTCCCAGAAAGCACGGCTCTGAATTGGAATGCCTTTGTTGAAACCTTTAACGGGAAGTACTTTTTTGAGGGTGCACAAGAACAGAAGATGACAGAGTTTCTATGACTTCGCTAGAATCAAATGACAGTGGATCAGTACGAGACAGAATTTGCAAGGCTGTCTAAGTTTGCACCGAGGATGGCCGAGAATCCTTTGGATAAGGCAAGGAGGTTACGGGATGGTCTAAAATCGGAACTCCGCAGTCAATTGATACTTCTGAACTTGAGGGACTACAATGTACTTAACGAGCGGGCTCAAATGGTTGAGGGACATATGACAGAAAGGGCTGCCGCTTCTGGATCGCGATATGCGCCGGCTATGGACAATCGGAACTTTGGTAAGAAACCTATGACCGGGAATAAGAGATTTGTCCCTTCGATAAGAAAGAACCTTGGAAAGCTGAACCGCTACTCTAACGCCGCATGTCAGTCTTGTGGAAGGAGGCACAAGAATGGCCCTTTGTCCGAGTGGACCTAGAGCATGTTTTGGATGTGGCCAACATGATCACCGAGTGAGAAATGTCTAATCCACCAAGTGAGGCCGCTAGTACAATCGCAGCCACCCCGAGTAGGAAATCAAGCTGGAGCCGCCCCGTAGAGTAATCAGAACCGACCCCCAGCTCAAGGAAGGATTTACGCTATGGCTTGCAAAGAGGCGGAGGATGCACCTGGCGTGATCAAAGGTACAGTCTCTTTATGTGATCATGCTGCTTATGCCTTATTTGATCCCGGAGCGTCGCATTCGCTTGTGTCTGAGCAGTTTGTTAAATTGACTGATATTGAACCGAAACCGCTAGAAGTAATGTTGTGTGTTACCACCCATCTTATGGATAAAGAACTGATTTCGTTAGGGTACCCAAATTGTAAGATTGTTATTGCTAGTAGGGAGAATTTGATTGATCTGGTTGTCTTGGCTATATTTGATTTCGATGTTCTTATTGGTATGGATTAGCTAGTTAGACAGAGGGCTGTGTTGGATTGTGATAGCAGGGTGATTCAATTTAATCCGATTGATCACTCGAGATATGAGTTTGTGGGAAACCGAGGAGGAACCTCAATCCCCTGGATTTTGTCGCTTGAGATGACTAAGTTGTGAGATGAACGATGTTAAGGTTACTTAGCGATTGTGGTTGATTCTTCAATCGAGGAACCGAGGCTAAAGGACATAGTCGAGGTGTGCAATTTTCCCGATGTCTTTCCTCAGGAATTGCCGGGATTGCCACCTGAGAAGGAAGTGAAATTCGTAATAAAGTTGGCACCTAGAACGGAGCCGATATCTAGAACGCCCTATAGAATGGCATTGTCCGAGTTGAAAGAATTGAAGGTTCAGATGCAAGAACTACAGCATAAGGGGTTTATTCGTCCAAGTACGTCACTGTGGGGAGCACCAGTGTTGTTTGTAAGGAAAAAGGATAGGTCATTGCGTTTATGCATCGACTGTCGGCAGTTGAACCAAGTAACCATCAAGAACAAGTATCCATTACCAATAATAGATGATTTATTCGATCAACTGCAAGGGGTATCGGTATTTTCCAAGATTGACTTAAGAACAGGCTACCATCAGTTGAGGATCAAGAAGGAGGACATACCAAAGACGGTATTTCGTACAAGATATGGACATTATGAGTTTACCACCATGCCGTTTGGATTGACTAATGCCCCAGCTACCTTTATGGACTTGATGAATCGGGTGTTTAAGGAATTCTTGGATCAGATCGTTATTGTATTCATCGACAACATCTTGGTATATTCAAAAGCCTTGAGGAACATGAACAACATCTAAGGATGGTTCTACGGACTTTCAGAGAACACGCACTCTATGCCAAGTTTAGTAAGTGCGAGTTCTGGCTGAATCGAGCGGCATTTCTTAGACATGTTATCTCCGGGGATGGAATTTCAGTGGATTCAGCTAAGATCGAAGTAGTCACGAATTGGCCAAGACCTACGACCGTGACAGAGGTTTGAAGCTTTCTAGGACTTGCGGGCTATTATAGAAGATTCGTGAAAAGGCTCTCCGCGATAGCCACTCCTTTGACGCGTCTACTAAAGAAGGAAACAAGGTTCGAATGGACGGACAAGTGTGAAAGGAGTTTCCAAGAGCTTAGCATAAGTTGACTACCGCCCCTATGTTGACAATACCGTCAGGTCCCGGATGATATGAGATCTACTGTGATGCGTCGCTAAAGGGATTAGGATGTGTTCTAATGCAACATGGAAGAGTGGTTGCATACGCATCGCGACAATTAAGGCCTCACGAGCTAAACTACCCAACGCATGATTTGGAACTTACGCCTATCATCTTTGCGTTGAAGATTTGGAGGCACTATCTTTGTGGAGAAAGGTTTCAAATCTACACAGACTATCAGAGTTTAAAGTACTTGTTCTCACAAAAGGAGCTAAACATGAGACAACACCGTTGGATGAAACTTCTTAAAGACTATGACTGTGACATCTTGTACCACCCTAGGAAGACTAATAAAGTAGCGGATGCACTTAGTCGGAAGTCGAGCATCGCGCATATGATGGTTAAAGAGTGGACCCTACTCTAAGGAATACGGGATTCGGAATTTAAGTTTGAGGTAGGTTACCTCTCAAGTCTATTGGCTACTTTGAGGATCAAGCCGGAGAATCAAGCAAGGATTAAAGTATCACAATTTACGAACTCTAAGACGTAAAAGATTCTAAGTATGGATGCAACTAAGAAAAAAACCAACTTTCAAGTCTCCGAAGACAGAATCTTGAAGTTTCTTGGACGACTGTGCGTGCCAAATGATGCAGAGCATAAGGAGGAAATCTTGGCTGAAGCTCATCGTAGTAATTATAGTATTCATCCAGGCAGTACGAAGATGTATCAGAATTTGCGTCAACACTATTGGTGGAATAGGATGAAAGTGGATGTGGCCAAACACGTAGCAAAGTGCCTAACATGTCAACAAGTGAAGGTGCAGCATTGCAAGCCTGGTGGATAGTTGCGACCATTGGAAATCCCAGAATGGAAATGGGAGCATATCACCATGGACTTCGTCATGGGTTTGCCAAGAAGTCAGAGAGGCCACGACTCAATTTGGGTTATCATCGACAGATTAACTAAGTTGGCACATTTTCTGGCAGTGCGAAACGACTTCGCAATGGATAGGTATGCCGAGCTGTATATGCGACAAATAGTCCATCTTCATGGAGTGCCAGTGACGACTACGTCGGACAGAGACCCTAAGTTTACAGCCACCTTTTGGAAAAGTCTTTAGACGGCTATGGGGACGAAGCTACAATATAGCACGGCCTATCATCCGCAGATGGATGGTTAGTCTAAGAGGACGATTCAGATGCTTAAGGACATGTTACGAGCCTGCATGATAGATTTTAAAGGAGGATGGGAAGAACAGTTGCATTTGGTCGAGTTTGCTTATAATAACAGTTATCAGCAAAGTATCAGAATGGCACCGTTTGAGGCGTTATATGGAAGAACTTGCAAAACTCCTATTTGTTGGGATGAAGTTGGGGAGCGGAGCATAACAGGACCAGAATTGGTACAGCAGTCAGTGGACACAGTTAAGATTATTCGAGATAGGCTTAAAACCACTTAGAGTCATCAAAAGAGTTATGCGGATCTTTGGAATTTCAAGTGGGAGATCATGTCTTCCTTAAGGTGTCGCCAATGTGAGGAACATCCCGATTAGGCAAGAAATGAAAATTAAGCCCTAGGTACGTAGGTTTGTTTGAGATATTAGAAAAGATTGGAACCCTGGCCTATCTACTCGCCTTGCTGTCGAATTTGTCTCAAGTTCATAATGTCTTCTACGTGTCCATGCTGAGAAAGTACGAATCTGATCTGACCTACGTACTGAATTATGAAGAAATAGACATGGACGACAGGGTGTCGTACGTGAAAAAATCTATTCGGATAAAGGACAGAAAAGAACAAGTTTTGAGGAATAAGACAATCCCATTGGTTAAAGTTGTTTTGCAGCATCATGGTACCGAAGGAGCCACATAGGAAAGTGAAGAGATCATGAGGCATCAGCACCCCCATTTATTTGAGTAGTGTAGTTGGTTGTAAATTTCGAGGACGAAATTTTTGTAAGGGGGAAGAGTTGTGACATTCTGAAATTCGACCCATTTCCGGGATTTATGAAATGATTATATCATCGATGCACTTTTAGTAAAATCTCACTCGGAATTGATCACTCTTGAGAAGACTAACCATTAGGGAATGGCTAGCTAGGAATCAAGTACGTGAACCTAAGAACTTAACAGTGAATCGACACTTCGACAATAAGGATTGATGAGGAGATATTTTGGGCCACTGTAGACCAATCCAAGGATGGCTATGGAACGATTCGCAAATGTTATAAATTAGATTGCGAGTGATTCCGCTTTACCATTGTATGAATTTCGAACGATCCCAAACCTAAATTGGAACTAGTGATTGACCATCGCAATTACATGACAACCGAGGTCGCCATGGCTCTAGTAAACTTAGATGTGGCTCGATATCGAATCGGCCACGAGTCGATACATGTAATTTCTAAAAGCCGCCCGTTAGTTTGAGATATACTAAAGTCGCGATTGATTGGTTTGAGCTATGAATTAGAATCCAGAATGGGATGTCGACCTTTGAAGATTTCACGAAAATTATCGGACGTCGTCTCATCAAGCGTGGCCAATCGTTGGATTGCTCAAAATTGTCGGAAAAGTGTAATTTGGACCGGGTATGGAAAAAGACCATTTTACCCTCGAGGATTTTTGAATTCATTTGAAAGGTTGAAGGGCAAATTGGACTTTGGCACTTTCCCTCCTTGACCGAAAATTGTGGACCTTTATGCCCCTCCTCATCTTGCCTATTTATTTTGGTTGCCATTTGTAATTTTTGGGAAATTAGTGGGAAAAAAATTATGGGCCATTGGATCTTGGCGTGGGGAAGGGGATGGATTCTTAGCCCTTGGATGTGAGTGGGGTTTGGTAGTGGGGTTTTGTGTGAGTGGAGTTAGTAACATCATGATCATCTCTCTCTCTCTCTTTCTTTCATTCTCTCACTCTCTCCTCCCTTGTTCTCCTTCATTCGGCGGAAGCTCCCTCACCCCCTTGCTAACCAACTCAGCCCATTCCAACCTCTGTCCAGCCACCGTGACGTCGCCGGAGCAGCCGCCGGCGCCACTGCTGCTCACTACCGCCACACCTCTCTCTTTCCCTCTCTTTCCTCACCATTTTTGGACACCACCAGCCCCAACCGAGACCAACACCACCCCTCACCGTGACCACCAGCTTGTGTCCGCCCCAGCGATAGATCGCCGTGACCAGAGCTGCCGCCGATCTTCCCATCCGACCGCCGGAACAGTAGCTGCTAGGCTTGGCTTTGCTTGGCTGGTTTTGCTTGTCTTGACTTAGGACTCCTAGTAAGTACTCCCTACACTTGAATAGGATAATGGGTTATCAATGACATGTTTAGGGGCTGATTAGAGATGGTTTAATGGCTGGTTG